CTTATATAAGCTGGAAATGAAGTAAAAAATATTTTAAATCCATCATTCAACTGCAAGTTTCTGCATTGGTCAAATAAAGCAGAACTGCAGGTAAATGGCTAAATATGCAGCTGAACTATAATAATGGGAGACCTTTTTACCTGATTTTTTGGGATTGGATAACCTTATGATTCAGATGTTTCCATCAGGCAGCATGGCAAAGCCATGCACTACTTGAGACCTCTCTGCAGAGTATGGTACATTTGAGCAACACAGCCTTGGTTTGGGCCTAGCTCCATTCTGTGAATGGACAATAAATAAGCAGTAGCATACTGATAAGATCATCTTCATGTTCCACCCTCATCTAAAAAAAGTTCTCTGTGTTAGGTGGCAGCATATAATTGTTTTACAGTGATGTCCCTCCCTCTCCCAGTCTTGGGGATGATTTACAGATAAGCCTTTATCAAGTCAAATTCAGATTATTTTGCCAGCTGTATGGAAAAATTTGTCCAAGACTCATTAAAATGGCAGCTTTTTGTATTTGTGTGTCGTCCAGCTTTAAAGTGTATTTCTACTTTGCAAACAAATTGGGATAACACCAACTTTATATTTGTTACATGTTGCCATTCACAGCATAACCTAAAAAAATATTTTAAAATGGCAGCTAACATTTTTTTGAGAATTTTTGATTAAAACTCCAGGACTTCAAAATCCTGCTTAGTCCTCTCTGTTTATGAAGGACTGGACAACTGTTGTTACCAAAATGAACCCTGTTGGTATTGTGCTGGTAGATAGCAATTATCAGTTGTAAACTAGTTGCTCAGGACTGTCTGTCCTAAGTACAAAAGGTTAAAAGATCTCAAGTTACTGTACATTATTGCACCTTTGAAAAAAAACTGTCCCTCAGTCTGTTCCCTCATATCTAAACTACGATTTATTCAAAGCATAAGAAGCTTACCTATAGTCTCCTATGCATAACCCAGTTTAAAAATAAATAAATAATAAAAAATAATAATTTTAAAAACATTATGACTGCAAAAGTGGAAATACATTCTAAGCCTCCTGTAGCATTGGAGCACACATATAACTCAGCACTGTTACCATATGCAAGCATCAGTCCTTGTATATTTGTAGGCTGACCTCAACAGCTCGGTAACCATCTAAAAAATAACAGCTGGTACCTTTAATATAGGTGGTCATTATTTAGGTGTTTTTTTTTACCTAAACCAAATGTCAAATAATTAAATTCATAGGCATTCAAAGAAAAAAAGGAACACAAACCCCAAGAATCTAATAGGCTCCTCATCACTTGTTGAAAAGCTGCACAGCAATTCCCAAAACCCAAACTATATGCACAAACAGAGGCAAGATGATCAAGCTACAGCTGTACATGCTGCAACATCATGTGTGAGCCTCCAGGAAAATTAGAGGTCAAAGCAATTGCAGGAGAGAAATCGCTCTCAAGAGCGTCGATCTGACCACTACCTGCCGTTTCATTCTGGAGGTAGGGAATACAGCTCCCGAAGGCCTTACACTTTGCAGGCTAAACTATTTGTTTTGGGATAATAATGTTGTGGCTGATAAATAATAGTGGAATCCAACAGATAGCGATTCAATTCAAGACTTTTTTTTGTATCCTTTTGAGAAAAGCTTATATATTAGAGTTACAATATAAAGAGCAAAGAATATTTTTTTTTAAAACTAGGAGAATTATCAACAGTTATTTTTAAGGAAAAGGGAAGTTTATGGACAGAGAATTAAAAAAATAGACCGTCCACATTTTGTTTTTTTCACATTTTCTCATGGTTTACTTGTAGGCTTTTGTGTGCTATAAAACACAATAACTGACCAGTGGAAGATGCTTATTAAACAGACACCAAATAAACTTGTCCCCACGAGCAAAACATACAATTATTCAAAAATGTAGCATCTGCACGATGATGATACAGAAAAAGCCTAAACATAATGATTATGATCATTTCAAAATTGGGTCTTGATTTTTAAGGAGACTTGTTGGGACAGCTCTCATGTGCCACAACTGTGTCCTCATCCAGTGTGAATTCTACTGCCCGACTAGCCAAAAAAGTTGCTAGTCCTAGGAGGTAAGTTGACATGGCTGATGCCGTTTGCTCTTGTTCTGTAATACTGTATTTAAGAGTAGGGCATTAGTAACATTTAAAAATAGATCTCATGCTGGGTCCCATTAAAGCCAGCAATTCCTAACTTTTCCAGGACATATTTTTTGCACTGGAACACAAAAGGAAGCCACTGGAAAAAAAACACCTTGAACTGAGGCTCTGAGTATTTGTTTTTAATCAGTGGGCACTCCCCGCTAATTAAAATGGCAGAAGATCCCCCCGACAGGCAAGATCTTTGGTATGAAAAGGTCTCATTTGAACCTATTTTTTTTTTCCCACACAGCCCAACTGTCAGCAACCACATCAAAGAATATCAATCTTATAGAATCATATCACTCGTATGTTGAGCAGACTTTGTTACTAAATAAGACCTATTGTGTTTAAATGGCTTGTATAGACAAAAGCATCTCAAATGTTTTTCCCTTCACTCGGATACCAAGTTCCTGTTTAATAAAGAGATATTTGAGGACTCCCCTGAGACTAATTTAAGAAGCGTAAGGCAGGCAGTTATGAGGTCAAGGAAGTACCTCCGCCCAAACTTTGTTATATTTCTAAACAGATAAAAAAAGCAGAATGATGATCTGCTGTCTCTTTTATAATAGGATACAGATGGCAAGCAGCAGCACCAGAAAAACAGACCAGTCTTAATAGTCTGTCCACAATGACTTAGGAAGCTCAACCACAGATGTTTATACTACAAGCTTGCATATGTGGCCCACTGTGACATCATTAGCTCTGGAAAAGGATATTTCCAGCACACATCATCACTATAGTATCTTGCTTTCACATATGATCTCTCTTAGCCACTACCTGCTCAACATTGGTTTTCAAAGCCTAAGCCTTTTATGGTCCCACAGCCACTGGTGTGTGTATATTTGATGCCCACCACAATTTTCCATCTTCAAAGCGATCCCACTACTAAGAAAGATGCTAATACCAAACCGTAACTAACCATGTACATTAACAGAGCATTTTATTTTCTTTCACAGCTATCCGATAGAGGTTGCTGAAGACACACATAATTGATATTTGAGCACTGGAAGGGATCCACTGTATTAATTTACCCATTGGCATCATAAATCTCAGAAACTCTAATAGTGAAATTCAGACTCATTGGCATTTCTAACTTCTCCCAGCAGGACAATGACATGTGTTACATTTCTTATTCTTTTGAAGATGTAAAGCAATATTCTTTACCATCCTATCATTAGAAACTTCATTTATTTGAAGGTTATCTCTAGTCATAACCCAAATTTACCATTAAACCTTCCTTTCACTTTCTATAGCATGTGCCAGCCTTTTGTTTTCCTTTTACCTGATTTCTGTAACACGAATCAGACTTTATTACACCATGTAGGATCACCAGGCTTGCAAAATTCTTGCAGAGGCAGCGAGGAAAAAAGGGAGTTCAGTAGGGTGGCCTAGGTCAGTTCCATTTGATGTAGGCATGCTACTCAGAGCAATATCTCCCAAGAACCCTTTCCTTAAACACAGTGTGTAAGGGTCCCAGACGAACACTTAAAATCAGCACCGGAGTACCAATGTTTCACACGGAGAAAGCCTATAAGCAGGTAGAGTGAAAGTATTAACTTTCTAAACTACTGGCAGCCATGGCAGTTAAATCAATTGTTATAGTCAGACTTCTTATTTTGATTTTAGACAGAGTGGGGGATAGTAAAGAAGCTCTGTCAGGTGTCCTTTGCTGCCTATGCCCCCTTCAGGTGATTTCCCATAATTTCTAGTGCCAGTGGTATGAGTCACCTTTAAAGGAAAGAGTAGCTTCCCCAGTAAAGCCCCAGGCAACCAAAAAAACCCACTTAAGATGTTCCAACTCCTCCCCATAGGATTTAGGGTCCATTCATACCAGCACTGCACACTAGACATGTGCGATTCGTTTAGTTCCGAATCGAAATTCGGACGAATTTTCGGAAATTCGGACATTCAGATGTATCCGAATTACAGACATAACGAATGCAAACGAATCCGAATTTCCATTTCCGAAATTCGGTAGCGGTAGTTCGAACGTTCGTTTCGGTTCTTATTCGTTTCTTATTCGTTTCGTTCGTTGGAGCAAAGTGACATTACAGAAGGAGAAAAATATTTTCCCCCCTCAAATGTCACTTTGCTCCAAACGAACGAATGAAACGAATAAGAAACGAATAAGAACAGAAAACGAAACGAACGTTACCGAATTTCGTCCGAATCCGAATTCCGAATCGACTTTCACACCCGAATCCCGAAAAACGAAATAACACAAATCCGAATTTAAAACGAAACGAAACTAAACAAATTTTTTGGCAGTGCACATGTCTACTGCACACTACCTCGCAGCTGCTCTGTTTCTAGTAAAACCAAGCTATTGACACTTTTTGAAGTCATACTGGTACCCAAGAGGCCTGGTGATATAGAGGAAAGGGGGTGATGGAAAATACTGGCTAAATCAATTAGGGGTCTTAATTCCTAGAAAAGGTTAAGAACCCTTCAACTAGAGAATCACTATGACTATTTGGTCATAGGCCAATGACTTGCCATGTGGTGAAGCAAAGAGCCTGTACCTTTAAAAACACAAAAAGCTCCACTGACAGATCCTTTTAACATGAAATTGATAAAAAAAATATCAGTTGTGTCTGCATACATGTAATTGTGTTCTCTCTACGGTGTCTATTATTTCATTGTCTTGCGCTGTACCAACAACTGACAATGGAATGAAAACTTCATAAAAACAATTCCACCTTGATAGCCAAAGCTTCAAACATTGCATTGCGAAAGACAAACAGTGAAGCCCAGCACATCGTTCTGCCTATCAATGCAATCCATATGCAGAAATGGCAAATTAAATCACCAGAACGATTCATGAAATGAAAAGGAAGAGAAGCTCCTTACCAAAATAATGAAAGCCACTGGACCAATAAAACTCCAGATGAAATTGTTGTCTATCCTCAGCCAGCACCTTTCAAGAGAAAGCAGAAAATTAATACAAATGAGATTGGAAATCAAAGTTCATAGAAAAAGCCCCCATCCCCCCTACCCCTTACAGCGCGATGCCAATACGATCTGGGTACTGGGGAATCTTTCTCTAAAGCAGACAGAGGGACCTGCAACCAAGCACGGCATAGCCATCTGACTGCTTTATGGGAGTAGAATTTATTTACCTTACAAATTATTTGATTTATAAACTTGGATATTTTGCAGCAGGAGATCTCTGATCCAAGCAATTGCCATACAAATACAACTTTATTTTAATTTTTTTGCCCAGGCTATTCTTTGTAATCTTCAAGTGTGGCCTTTCATCTTTATGGCATATGCAAAGTAGGCGTCTCAGCGGAACACAAGACACATAAAATGTTCAGCTGTCATGTTCAGCTGCAAACCAGTAGGACATTAAAAAATAACCCAAGTGGGAGACTTAAGGAGCAGGAAAAAAAAAAATAAAATAAAGAAATAAATGAAATGCACTATATTAGGCTAAATGATGCATAAAGTTATCAGTCTAGGCTTCACGCAGTGGTCTCTCGATTTCCATGCTCTGAAGTTATGGGCTGAATACATTTTCTGTTAATATAAGAATATTTCTGCTGTCACTATGGGATCTGATAAACAATCTCATGCTGTCACATTTTTCTTTCTGCTATACAAAGGTGTTCACAGGGACTCCGTTGTGGAGTTGTTAAAAAAAAAAAACAAAGAAAAGAAAAGAAAAAGGGTAAAATGTCACAAATTATTTACTTTTCTGGATTCATGGCTTTTTTTGAGTAATTACAAAAATAAAAAAGAATTTCTTTCACCATCTTCACTTTTTTCTCCCCAGCTAACAAACGGCTTCCTATTTACATTTTTACTTTAGTATTGGTATAAGGTAGCAAAAGACTTTGCATAGGCAACTGTAAAGCCCCCAAGAATGTCTCTATTACCTTTATTTTTGGCTTCTACTCTCACAGAAGGGCTACTCTGAAGCCACGCTGATTGTCATGCACCCTTTTGTCTTGCTGACCAACCAAATCCTGCCCCCTGGGTGACATAGGAGGAGGCAGGAAAACACTAAAGGGTAAGCAAACTGTGCTTGTACCTAACTGCATAGCCCGTCCTCCATCAATATAGCAGTCCCAGCTCTTCAGGTAAACTGCAAAGGGGAGCACCACTGACTGACCTGTCACTGCATATAAAAAGAGAACATGCGCAGTTTGCTACCTAAATGCTGTATTATCAAGAGAGCAGGACCCTTTACCCCTAGGATTCTTGATGAAGTGTGACAGAGCAGCTGTACTGAATAAAGGTGCAAGTTGCCCAACTGCTTCCATGGTGCAATGAATGGGAATTAAGTTCTCGTTACTGTTTGTTATCTCAGTTAAGGCATTTACTTTTGAATGGAACCCTCCAGAGTTTGGTGCCAAAAGTTTGCAACCCTTAGTGTCACCATCTATTTGGCTATACATAAACTTTTAGCGAAAAGGGTAAAATTGCTCAGTGAAGGGAATGTGAAAGTGTATATTTTTTTATGATGAGTAACAGCACAGAAATTTAAAAGTCAAAACATTGTGAAGTTAACAGCATATCTTGGAAATTGACCCCTTTCAGTTTTGTAAAATGCAAGAGTTATCTAGTTGGGATGAGAAGATTGATCAGTTGGTACTAAGGCCTCGTAGCTTTGAGTTTCTGAGTTCTACATTTTGGTGGTTGTGTGAGCTTACGGCTTGCATCTCAAAACTGAAACCGTAGGGGTAGGTTGTCACTACAAAGACTGAGAAGAACAGTTCTTGGCACAGCTTTGCATAATATGTTGGGCTATGTAAATATATGATAACAAACAGCTGCTGGCAGATGACTTACACTTTCTCTGTTCCATAGCTCTTGTAGTCTATAGCGGCAGATACACCGACGACTGTAGCGGGGAAGAGGTATCCGGCAACGTAGTAATACTTTTTCCTTGAATATTCGCTCTCAAATACTTCCACGAGCATGAGGTACAGCTGGATACCTTCCAGGCACATCCAGGCAAAAGCAGCCAAGAAGAAGAAGTGGAGGAGGCCAGCAAATATGGGACAGGCAATCTGGAGAGACGGAATAAAGGAATGATGTAACAGTCTACCTTGTGATCAGAGTCAATGTGTCATCGTAAAGCGCCGGATAACGATGCGCTAGGGATTCCCTCCATGGGCTCTATTTATAAATGCCATTAAGATTTCATTTGAGGGTGTATTGGGCTGCAATAAATCATTTCCCCACCATTAAAAGAATATATATTACTCCTTTTTAAGGGTGAACTTCTCAAACAGACACCTGATATTAAAAAAAGCCGGTTGTTAAATGGAAAATATTGCTTAGTACGGTATAATATCCTACTCTTTAATAACCTTTCCAAACAATATGACTCCCGCAGAGAGCCGTTGATAGTGAGACTTCTGTGCTTGGAGCATAGCGTTTTTCTGGGCTGGGTAATTTCACATTGTATTGAAGGAAGATTACAATGATACATTACTAGTAAAGGGACATTTTAAGAAAATTTGTGGAACAGCAGAGACAACGTTAAAGGCTATCATTAACATATAGTCAACCGGCTTTTTAACATTTTCTATTCTAAAGAAAAAAAACCTCAGCTGGTTTATATGGTTAAAGAGACACCGCCATCCTGCCCATGCAGGGTAAAATAACAGAGGCTTTGAAAAGGGCACCACCCGACCCTCTTGCACTCTTCTTGACCTGTGCTCCCACACAATTCCATTCTCCTCTGCAGCCGGCACAGAAATAAACTATGCTGGTGACCCAGGGAAGTCATGTGACAGTGCTTGGGCTAAGTGATTGGTTGCTAGGCTCAGGCACTGCCACAGGATAGCAGGTAACATTCTCCACCATACGCAGAAGTGTTGAATATTCTTGGTTGGTGTGGAGGAGCAAGGAGCTGAGGGGGATCACAGGTAAGGTGAGTAAAAGAAAGTTGGCTTATGTCCTTTGCAGAAACAAAGTCAGCGCAGGCTGACAGCGTCTCTTTAACGGAGCATTTGGCTAAAAAAAGAATATTGCAGAGCCAAGCGATCAATGTTGGACAACAGCTGTTTGCTGAATCTGCGACAGGTTCCAGAAAAAAAAAAAAAAACACATACTGTATATAACCTTCAATGCAAGATAAATGGATTAAAAATGCACATAACCTTAGTGTAAAAGTTCAAGTCTTTCTTAAAGATCTGTATCATTTTTCTTAATACGCATGCAAGCATTGCAACATCTGTTCCCCTCCCCCTAGGCAAAACTGAAGAATGAATTGGCAGATTCACTCAAACAGCTAAATACATAATTAACAATATATCTAAACCTTAGAACAAAAAATGTAGTATATTGCAGTTAACTAGTCCTTCAATGTGCTGGCTGCATTAGTTTTACTTTTTCAGGCTTTTTTCCCTTTGTTTTCATCTAGCAATCCGGCCAGTAAAATGCTTCCTGCCTCCCGATGACAACGCTCAATCACTGTACTGTTTCTATGGAGGTGCAGTGTTGGCAGCTGCCCGCTTCTGATTTTGCCTACAGGATACAGCCCCTCATCAAAACATATGAGGAAAGGTTCTGTAATTCACAGAGGTGACCTGGGCAGGTCTTATAACTTATGCTTTGGAATTTAGTGCAGCAGATGCACTGTGTTGTCAGCTCAAAGAGGAGGTTAGGAGCTCAGTGGGTTTCTGGCAGGATTTTTCTGCACTTATCCAACAGATATAACAAAACACGTTTAATAGAAAATTTGGCTGACCAAAAGGGAGAAAATAACCGATGTTAATTGTTAGGCTTTACATACAATTTCAAACACATACACTAAATTACCAAAAGTAACCGGCCTTTACATGCACATGAACTTTAATGGCATCCCAGGCTTAGTCAGTAGGGTTCAATATTGAGTTGGCCCACCTTATGCTGCTATAACAGCTTCAACTCTTCTGGGAAGGCTGTCCACAAAATCTAATAGTGTGTCTATGGGAATGTTTGACCATTCTTTAAGAAGCGCATTTGTGAGGTCAAGTACTGATGTTGGGCGAGAAAGCCGGGCTCACAATCTCCGCTCTAATTCATCCCAAAGATATTCTATGTTGAGGACTGGCCTGCACAGAGTCCTGACAAGTTCCTCAACCTCAAACTCGCTCATCCATGTCTTTATGGACCTTGCTTTGTGCACTGGTGCGCAGTCATGTTGGAACAGGAAGGGGCCATCCCCAAACTGTTCCCACAAAGTTGGGAGCATGAAAAAGTCCAAAATGTCTTGGTATGCTGATGCCTTAAGAGTTCCCTTCACTGGAACTAAGGGGCCAAGCCCAACCCCTGGAAAACCACCCCCCCCCATAACCCCCTCCACCAAACTTTACATTTGGCACAATGCAGTCAGGCAAGTTCCGTTCTCCTGGCAACCGCCAAACCCAGACACGTCCATCGGATTGCCTGACAGAGAAGCGTGTTTCGTCACTCCATATAACACGTCTCCACTTCTCTAGAGTCCAGTGGTGGCGTGCTTTATACCACGGCATCCAACACTTTGCATTGCACTTGGTGATGTAAGGCTTGGATGTAGCTGCTCGGCCATGGAAATCCATTCCATGAAGCTCTCTACGCACTGTTGTTGTGCCAATCTGAAGGCCACACAAAGTTTGGAGGTCTGTAGCTATTGACTCTGCAGATAGTTGGCGACTTCTGCGCACTGTGCGCTTCAGCATGAGCTGACCCCGCTCTATTATTTTAAGTGACCTACCACTTTGTGGCAGAGTTGCTGCTGTTCCCAGTTGCTTCCACTTTGCTATAATGCCACTAACAGTTGACCGTGGAATATTTAGCAGCAAGGAATTTCACGGAACACCTGAATCCAATGATTTGGAGGGGTGTCCCAATACTTTTGGTAATATAGTGTATATAAGAACTGCTCTACCTGCAGAAGATTTCTAAAGTAATGCCCACATTCATCTAGCCACCCACCCTGCTGTACTGTAAGTGTGCATATAACAAGGAGCAAGACACCACTATTCAGTGCCACCAGTTCTTTTTATTTTGTCACTGCCCCACCTCCTGCTTGCTCTTTGGGGTACTAGTGAGCAATATAATACCTGTGCCTTCCAGAAAGCCCAACTTAATACTGATAAGCCTACAGAGTGGGCATCTGCACTGCAAGCCTTATTTTATCCATCAGCTAGCACATGGGAACTCAACATAAAAACAGCGTTAAAAATAATCAGGGCAAAGCCTCTTTACAGGGCTGATGATGGTGCCCTACTCCACATGAGACACATGTTTGGGCCTAGTAATTGCCCACCAAGCCTGAGCACTGCACTATAGGAGGTGGTCACAAGGTCCCCTATACCAGAAATTGCTGTGTATTTTGCAGCAGCTCTGATGAAGCAACAGTTGAGAGCAGGAACCAAAAGTATAAGTGGGTAGGGGGTGGGCTTTAAAAAGATTCTGTAATTGTGTCCTAAATGGCAATTAATCTCACATAGCTAAGACATTGGCACAGCAATGCAACATTATTCAGTTCTTAAACACATCAGAAAAATAGAAGCAAGTCTTTGCCAGTTGGGGTCCTTACCTCGTAGTTGGTTTTATCGATGCCCACCAAAAAAATGAATTCCGCAATGAACAAGTTAATACAAAGATTCTTGTGTATGGTGTTACGATCACTCTGGAGGCCACGGAAGAAGCAGAAAGTGAAGATACAAATGGCGAGGCAGACCAGGGAGATGACAATGCCCACCCATGTGATGACGGTAAGGAGCAATTCATGCATCGAGTTTTTGTACTGCAAGAGATCAGAGTAGCCAAATCACATTTTCAATACAGTAACACAAACAAAAAAAGTAGTGACAAACACAAAACAATACAAACAAGAAGAAATCTATTTTTAAATAAAGTTCTGCACACCAAAAACAACAGAATAAATCATTCAGAAATGAACCCTGCACTGCCAAATACCCTACAAGCTACCTATCTTAACCCACCATCTCCAACCACATAATTGTCAGCACAGCTCGCAGAATGATCAATCAGAAGCAAAAAGTGGACCTTTTCAATTACTGTTCAGCCTTTCTCAGCCAGAGAGCTGAAGAGTTATGATCAGAACAGGCTTTAGAAACTGTTGAAGCAATGGTTCCCCTGGGAGAGGCTGGCTGACAAATGTTTGCCTGATCTATAGATGTGACATCACCCAGGCTGCCGAAAAACAGCCTGTTTCACATCTATGGGTGCTTTCATTTCTTTTTTAATTCTAAACAGAAAAAAACCTTAGCTGGTTTATATAATTTAAGAGACGCTTTCACATTATCCATGTGGGGTAAAATGACAGGGGTCTGCAAAGGACCCCCTGCTCCCCCTCCCACAACCTATTCACTTTACCAAAGAGCTGTAAAGATAGCACAGGTATTCTGTAGCCGGCACTGAAATCAGCTGTGTTGACAACCCAGGGAAGTCACATGACAGTGCTTTAGCCCAGGGATTGGCTGCTAGTCCTGGGCACCGCCACAGGGGAGCAGGTGACATGGTCCCCCATACCCAGAAGAGAAAGTAGACCTATTTTTTTATTGTTTGGACTTTCTCACTCGCCTCATAGTTCTAGCCGACCTGTGACAATGAGACTGTCACAGGTCGGCTCAGTAGATCGGGAGGTGATCGAACACATACCGGCGTTCGCTCACCTCTCGATCCTGTCATGGCTCTCTGCCGTGATAGGGGAGGGGCTGCATTCCCCCCCTCCCCGATCCGCCAGCGCTGACTTGCGGAACGGGAGGGGGCGGGTGCAGCTGGCACTGCCTCTAGGTAGGCAGAGCCAGCTGTCAGTCACGCAGCTGGGCGGATCCAGACATAATTGTCGGGATCCGCTTCAGCTGTGGTATCTTAGTATACCGCGAGCAGCAGCTACACCCTAGAGCCTAGGGTGACGGGAGGACGCTAGTTTGTGTCCTCCCGTTACCCTAAGGAGAACTATGGGGAAAAGCCTTAGTTCTCCTTTAATAGTTGTGAATACAACTGGCTTTAGAAACTGTTGAATGATCCAAGGTCACCCCCAGGAGAGGCCAGCTGATACGTCTGCCTGATGCATAGAAGTGATATCACCCAACCCAAACGGCCTTTTTCACATCTATGGGTGCTTTCGGCGCCGACAGATAGATATTTTGCTGTGGCATTAGTTTCAGATTCGATTTCTCTGTTTATGTGTAAACTGTAACTTTGCATATCCAATATGATCCCATCTCATCATGTAATATAACAATTTGCTACCGTCATAGTACTTACAACAATTTCTCGATGCGCCATCAGTATCGCAAAGTTCGTCAGATGAGTACAAGCGCAGGTTGTGTGGGTTTTATTTGTTTCAACAAGGCGGCAACCTTGAGTGGACCAATAACCCATCATGGTTCTCTCAGAATAGTTCCAGAAGGAGCAGTTGGCATTGAAATAATTGTTGGGCTGCAAGAGAACAAATAATTCAATACTGGGGCATGTAATCTTCAATGATGAGAGCAAACTGGTTAAAGAATAAGCTCAAATAAGACATCAGTTCAATTTTAAAACTGTGACCAAAACACTGTTGATAGCAACCAATCAATTAATGTAAATTCGGTCAACTAAAAAGTAGAAAAATAAAAGTGCAATTTCTCTGATCAGGGCACCAGCACACATTTTAAAGGATCAGTTCACTCAAAAGTGATATTTTAGACATAGATGGAGCCTGGTGAGCCCCTGGCTTCTTAGACATCTATAGCAACATCACCACAAGTCTCAATTCTCTTCCTGTTCACCAGTTTGTGTGTTCCAGCTCCTGATGTTACAATATTATATAAAATAAACATCAAGCAGGGATGGAGGGAACATCTCATAAAGGGCACAGCAGGTGTGCAGAGCTGGGGACTGGCTGGTCATAAGGACCAGCAAGGTGTTGTACATAGCTTCCTGAAAATATCATAGCACCCCAACTCAGTACTCCTCTAAATAGCCCTCAGGACTGATGCAAGGAGTGAGTTGACTTTTGGGAGGCGCAAATATCAAAATGCTTTGCCAGGCGACTGTCAAGAGGAATGGGCATTCTCAGATAGGCTGCATTTGCATGTAGACAGCCTAGCTAACACCGGCATGGGATGATGAGTCTCCATGAATGAAATTGAAATCCAATGAAGGGACGTGCCAAGGATGATGCTGGACATCATTGAGGTTGTTTTCATCTGACTTGCACAGTGAGAAGCTCAGGAGAGGAGAGAAGGCTGGTATGCTACTAGCCCAATCAAAATAAATGGGCTGCCTTAACATTAAGGCAGCACACAGTGTGACTGAGCCCTAAGCATCAGCAATTTCCTTCATGCTTTTGTCCGGCTCTGACAACTACACACGATGGGCACTGGAATTTAGTCCGACTTACTGGCACCCCTAGACACAAAACGGGGTTGGGAAAGCATTTTTTGCTTTTACATCCTGTCACCATAATCCTTCACTCTCCACAACACTATTTTCTTTATAGCCAATCAATTCAACAGAAACTTCACATAGTTACTACATGAGCCACACAATGCAGCAACCATTTTGTGCCAAATTTGCCAGTGTCACAAAGCCATTCCATTCACTGGCAAGCCGATTTACTGAGCGCGGTACGCCTGAACTTTTTAAAGTGAGCATGTTTTAGATCTTATACCCTGTTATCAGGATCATTCCTTGTCTCTAAGGCTTTTTTTTCCACAACTCTTAGCTGCAGCACTTCTCTCTCAAGGACAGATAATCCATTATTTAGAGCTGAATGAGATAAAGCACTATAGAAATATGCCGGGTGTTACAGAGAAAGTGAGTTGACAAGAGGGAGCAAACAAACTCCACAATATTCTGCCATATTTGCCTTAACCTCACAAAAATAGAAAAAAAAATTGATGCCTTTCAGGCTGCAAGCAAAGTGGGAGAGACTAGCTAATGAGGGGAATCACCATTTTTTCATGGATGTGTCAACTGAGTGCTATTCAGAGAAATGCATTGTCTGTTATTTGTCTTTCTCTAGGTACGGTACCAACAAACTCAGAAATCTGTCTTACTGACCATGTTGAGGAAGATCAAGGGTTGCGACGTTCATCTGGCAACTCCTAGACCGGTTGTACACCTGGCTGCTGCTTACCTGGATGTCCGCACATTCTCTATAAAGGTCAATGGTGACAAAACTTCCTCAGGGGTCAGACTTTTTATATACTGTGTGAAGTTTGAGCCCCGCTGCAATATCATCTGTGCAGAGAGGACATGACTGTTGGGCGGAGAACTGCCTTAAATGGTCAGACTGGATAGGCATCTATCGCAGCACCTTTACCTTTGGTTGTTGGACATGAAACTGCCTTGAATACTCAGACTGGATTGGTATCTAAAGCAGCACATTCACTCAACAACAGGGCTGGGCTCAGCAAATGCCGCTTTCAGATCTGAGCTCAGACGCAGCAACTTTCTAATGGAAATCAAAGCACACCTTGGGCTTGAAATGAAATACTTCTACAGCAGTGGTGGTGACATTACATGATATGGCGGGCCCCAAATGCCATCCCTGACATTGTCAAAAGGCTGCACATAATATTTAGAGAATGCAATGCCACAGAAACTCTATCAGCATGCTTCAGGAGCTGGCCAGACACTAATGGCATGCTACAGGACATGGTCAGAGACTACAGCCATGCTACAGGACATGGTCAGAGACTATGGACATGCTACAGGAGATGACAAGATATTATAGGCATGTTACAGGAGATGGCTGTAGACTATGGGCGTGTTACTAGGGATTGTCATAGATTGCAAACATGTGATAGGACTTGTTGGAGACTGACGACATGCTTCGGTCCGAGTGTTGACGTGTCAATCCCATAATAGGGCCTTGCACCAACCCTTTAACTGTGACTCCTTAGATTGGCTATCACAGAAATAACATAATCAGGAGACTGTCCCACCAGCTCCTGATCATTTATGGTGACTTGTAGCTGTCTGTGACAAGGGGTTAAATACAGGAGAAATTGATCTGGAGAATATAAACAAACATACTGCTTCCCAGATCACTTTCTCTTGTTTAAATGTGCCTGCATTTACATGCACTTAGAGTATCTATTCTGCCCCTGGACGCACAGATTTTTCTGTGCAGGTAAATGAACAGCATGAATTACAACATTAAAAATCATTACATGCGCTTATATGCATTTACAAATCTCCTATAAACGCATGTTTGTCATTGCCCAAATGAATGAGACCACACAGGAAACAAAGTTCACAAATCCAACTTGTTTTACCGAGGCAAAGGCTAATTCCACTGTAATTACTCAGCAAGGTAATGAAGATTTCCATAAAGAAGGGAAAAAAAAGTATTTAAAAGAATTATACCAAGTGCCATTATTTACACAGCTTTCCTCTGAGAGCTTGGCATCCAAAGCTGATTTTACACTCGGAGGCATCTAAATCTGCTAATTTATACAGTGTAATCAGAGTTTAGATGGAGCTGCCCTGCTGCTAAGGTAAGAGTTAATTTTTGCTCACAAATGAACTAGGCTCATTTACATTTTCATGTTGCCAGCGAATTAGCTTTCATTAAGAATACACTTAAGTTCTAATAATCACTGATCCAGCTTTCATTTAATTTTATGTTCGGTGACTCAAAGAAATTCTTCCTGTGACCTAGAGGCGCACTTCAGATCCTAATGAAAACTTCGTCTTATCCCCCCCTCCTTCCTTTCTACTTTTTTTTTTTTTAGCCCTCAAGAAAACCTCCCTTGACAAAGCTCCACGGCTTTTTCCACATAGCAAAGAACAAAAAGTTTCACTCACATCGATGTGTTCCAGTGTAAACTGCACAGGATCCGATAAAGTGACGCGGCTAGACTCCTTATTGATCGTGGCGGCAATGACGTGGGAGTTGACGGCGATGGTGTGGTTGCTGTTGGCGAATTCTGCGCCCAGTTTTATGGTGGCGTTCTCCGTGCTGAGAAACTGGCCCAGGCTTTTGTACAGGATGAACACCAGTTTGGCAAGACCTGGAACAGGGGAAGAACAACATGCTCGTCAATATAAAGACAGATTTTCTGCCACAAAAAATATGAAGTGCATCTAAAGCTATTTTTTGGATACCGTGAAGAAAAGTTAGATCCCTTGTCAGATGATTTCTATTGCTTTGTGGGATTCGCCCTCTCCATTTGTCCTGGTGATCTCTGTCTCAGAAAGTGAAGAAGAAAATCCATAGGCTATATCTTTGACCTATAAAGTTATTGTCCTTGGTAGGGTGTCAAGTGTTCTTCAGTCTCAGCAATCTAATCAAAGTCTGTTTAAAGGGACATGGTGAAACACCATCAAAGCTTTTCCAAAATGACAGGGCCATAGCCAAGGTATCCCTTTTGTATGGGGAGATTAACCATGGCACAAGGACAAGAGCAATTGCTGAACTATCAAACGGGGCAAGGATTTTAAAGCATAGATATATCTCCCTCATCAGGCAAAGTTATGTTGCATGTTTCATCACCAGGGGTCCCTTCATCAGGCTGGGTGACATCACATGTTATGTTACCAAACATCCCTTGATCAGACAAAGTAACATCACATGTCGTGTCATCAGAGAAAGTGACATCTCATGCCATGTTACCAGGGGTCCCTTCATCAGGCAAAGTGACATTGCATCATTTCACCAGTGATATTACTTGTTGCATCACCAGGGATCCCTTATCAGGCAAATTGGCATCAGATGCCACGTCACTTTACCTGATAAAAGGACCCTTGGTGGTTTCCGAAACGTTGCACCTTGCTGTATGACACGCTGAACAAACATCAATAAGGGCAGCTCTTACTGCAGAGGATTGAGGCGTGCTGGCATCATATGTACATCTCAATGTTCAAAACATGTAAAAAATGTAAAAAATGTCCCTACTTGCGAAATTACTTGGCAATTTCTCCAAATTTGACAGAACTTGGGAACCATGGGTCGCACATTTCTTCTCACCGAATTTTGATAGAACATTATTAGACATATGAAAAGGTGCCCTAGCTCTCACCACTGCCGGCCACGGGCCACATAACCCTACCTAGATGTGCACTTCCCCCAACCTCCCCTCTCCTCCCTCGCCCTTTCCACCCAACCTCCCACACTCTCTTTCCCCCCTCTCTTTTATTATCCTTCTACTGCTGCTAGGGCTGTATAGCAGCTCCTTCTAAAGCTACAATCTACCGCTATACTTCTAATTTCACGCTAACTTTCCGTAAAAATCCTGATTACTATTGGTCGGTCCCGTTGGCCTGAACCATGTCTCTGCCAGCCGATGAGAGATAACACTCTGACGCACTCTACCACAATTGTACGCTGGAATATTCATAATGTATTCAATCTTAGTAATAATCTTATGTTAATTGCATTGAATGTCTGAGGTGTGTGTCCTACCATCTGTTCTGGTAGAGCCTGCAATGTTTGTACTTTCTGAATCTCTATATGCTAATAAAAATTTATTGAAATAAAAAAAAAAAAATGTCCCTACTTTAAACCTAAAAATAAAAATGAAAAACACCTGAGATATAGATATCAGATAGAATAGATATCAACTTCTCCTGCAGTACTCTTTACCAAAAAAAAAAAGGAACAAAACATCACCCCAATAATGATTATCTCACTGCTGATAAATCGGTAAGCAGCCTCCCTTAAGAAGACAGGTCATCTTTAGCCACAGCAAACAAAATAAAGTCTGTTGAAAAGGAATCTGCAGAGCGTTGCTGAAGCAAAGCACGTCAGAAACCAGAGCTGCCATACAGATGTTTCCACAGCTCTTAAAAGAAAGAAAAGTTGGCATTTACTAATAAACAATTGGGATCCTTAGGTTACAGATCTGAGCGGCGGAACAATGGCGAGAAAACCACGTGACCGGCGACTTACCATTTCTGCTGTTCTGTTTGACGGTGTTGGCCGAGAGCTGGATCAGGTTACCTCCTTTATTGCCCTGAGGAAACTTCAACTCTTGCACCTGGCCCTCTGTACTGAGCACAGCCACCTCGAGGACTAGTTGTGGGGAAGGGGAGAGGACAGACACACAGCGATGGTTACAATGCAGCCATTATGAACACAACTCAACATGTGCGCAAGGGGGAAAACACTGAAACGGCTCTGTTAAAGCCCCTTGTTAAAAGGAAAAACCATGCTCAAATTCTATGAAAGGCACATTGAAACTGAACTCTGCAGCCCAAAGCAGAACTGCTCTTAATAGTGTTATAATGTTACATTATAAGATATTCTTTTTTTTTCCTGCTCTTTTGGCATTAGGTAGGCTTAGAACAACTCAATATATCTCCGAACCTGGGAATTTTCAAACCTTCCGCTTCACGCTCCCAAAGCTAAACTTTGCAGTGCCGGGGGGAAAATATTTACGCAGGATGCCTTCCCTGCACAGTCGACTTTTCAAACACAAATTCAATTAAAAGCAGAAGAATCACAGTAATCCTCCCTTGTTAATTAACAATTAATGAAGTTTAATAATTACACGAAGATGGAGGACAACATGCTGTTCTTTCTGCATGACTGACGTGCAGATATAAACGCTGCCCTCCTATAGAAAGGGAGACTGTCGGTTAAAAAAAAAAATCTCCTTCGAAAAGATTGCCATTAAGGTGAAATATAAAAATTATAAACGGTTAAAGTGCAGACAATTGTAGCGGGATCCCAACCCCACCCCCATCACAGTCACATCCTGGGCCGTTCAGACAGGCAAAGTTCACATATTTCCAGGAAGAAGCGGAGCTAAGCCTCCCCCCACACATTCCTATTGGTCAAAAACCATGATGGACAGGGTCACTGACAAATGGGTATGTGCAGGAGGCAAAAAGGATTGGGTAAACAATTGGGGGGGGGTGAGTGTTAAGTCCCAGTCAATATTTAAAGCCTTTCTTTGAGCATTGTACGTGCATTTTTCAAGTGTTTTTACATGCAACTTGTAGTACAGGAACAGAATAGTGCGTTTTTGGCTCCAAAAGTGCATGGACTTTGTTGAGCTTCACGCAACAGGCGAACATTTACTGTTCCCAGGAACTAGAGTTCAGTACTTGTGTAGTTTTTGCCAAATAAGCTTTTTTTATTATTATACAAGAAACCAAATCTACAAAAGTCTGTCCATCCTTTCTTTTGACATTGATATGATTGTGTTATTGCAAAAAGACCATTCACAGCCAATGTTATATGATGGAACACTCCTACTATGTCCCATTGCTACTCGGAAGCATCATGAATATGTTTTGTGACAGTAGATGGGCTGATGGCATATCTGTCAAGAACAGGTCTTTCTACCTGTATGTTTTCCAAACTGTAATCCATGACACAAGTTGGGATTTGGTCAATATTGACCAACTACACATGCACAAAGGATTGAAAAGACGTCATCAAAGTAGCCATCATTTAATAAAGCTTATGTAGGTTATCATTATAGAAGTATCAAGCTTGGATCTCACAGGAGAACCAATAAGAAGTGGAAACGGTGAGTGTTTAATTAGATACCAAGGAAATGACTATATCACGCAAGTATATGAGATCGAGTTACAGACAAAAAAATTACACCAATAAGCTGCCAGACCGAATTCCAAATCTCACATTTGATTTTACCACGATAGGGCATAAAGCTAAAATCTGACAGGCCATTATGGGCCACGTCTCCCTTTGGCCATTCTCTAAATCTGCTTGAGCGTAAAAGTTGTTAGTTAGGTTTTCAGACACTGAAATGTCACAGATGAGGAAAGGTGTATTTTAATCACTTACCTATATTTTCCGTGGGCATGGTGACCCTAGTTGGGTCTGCAAGGTTATCCGCTAGTACAAAGGCACCTTCCTCAAGAGTATCCAGTAACATGGTAGCAGCATGGGTTTGCTCAGTAGAATTCATATCCCTCCAAGACTGAAGTGCATCTGGCCTTAACAGGTTGTCCACTGTGTCAACAATTGCCTGATGGAAGAAAGAAGTTGACGTAAGGTCCCTCTATATCCACTAGGAGCTACTTAGGGGCATATGATAATCAACATGGAAGGTCACAGTATGTAGGCAAATGCTAATCTATTTGGACATAAATCGGAACAAAATATACATACACCTGGAAGGAAGGAAGAACATGCACATAATGAAGCCACACAGCGCAACCACAGCTAAAATAAATACATAGAGAGCTTGCCAGTAAACTATAAAGAGGAGAAACAAAAATATGCATAACATAGCCAAAATAAAAATACCTCTGTAATTATTGGTCATGCTGCATGTATGGTATAAAGTAGCTGCCAAGGAATGTCTAAACCAGAAATTAGATGTATATTTTAAGTGCATTTAGACCAGGCACCTTACCAAGATATTAAGCACATGGGTTGGGTCCTAGATTAAAGAATATTTGTCTGCACACTCTGTTTTACAGAGATACTTAATGAACTTGAGTAATGAGGGGATCGTAGGTGAGAGATGTTTGCCATGACTAGTCCTTAGTCAAGGTAAAAATCATAGCCTAATTGACGCCTTCCAAACAGGAGGCCATATTGGAAGTATTCCTGCCACTTTTAAAGAGGACCTAGCATCCAAAGATATCTGCTCATAAGTAAATGCATGCTATTTAATGTGTATATGTAACACTTCAAGGTATATTACCTCTCTTAGAGATCACAGTCACATCTGAAGATCTACTTTTCTGATCAGTGGGGCAGCACCATCTTAGTTTAGGCATCATCCAGGGTCAGCATCTACTTCCTGGACTGAAATGCTGTATATTCTAGTGCCTGTGCAGTTTTTGGCTGTGTTCAGAAATAATTAACAATTTACAATCAAGTAGTCTGATCCCTGCGGGAGAGGAGACTGAGGAAATGCTTCCTCCTGCCTGCAGCTGTCATGTCTAGGCAAAGTCACTAGAATGGAGCTCAAAATGGCTTTTTAATGATAAGTCATTATATATATATAATTTCAGTTACTTATTTAAGCAGGTGCGTAAAACTGTAAAATTCATGAAAGGTCCACTATAAGTGGTCACTTTTTTGTTATACAATTTCCTTTGTATGCTGAAATTCAGTCATGGCACTGGGCAGGGGCAGAAACAATTAAAGAGGACACAGCAATATTTTCAAGGTGGGAATGGTGAAAAAGTTTTGATTATTTTGGATATAAAATTAAGAACTGAAAAAAGGGATGTAGATAGATTTGAGATGAGTTGTGTCTATTCTACTATTCTAACAACTGCAAAATACCTAGAAAAAAAGGCTTGCAAAGACTACACTAAATGAGTCTACAAGAACAAAACACGTGAAATTCCCAGATTAAACCATGTTGAGGATACAATTCAGCACAGAGTCATTTAATTTTATGTGCAAACATGGCTTAGTGACCCACTGAGGGATGGTTAAACCATTTACAACAGTTTGTGTTTCAATGCTGAGGAAACCACAGAGAGGGCAAACCCAGCTTGCCCCTTTTTGGCCTCCTTCATCTGTCCACTAATAGCCCTTTAACTGATGTAAAGATAACGACTGCAGCTGACAGGTTTATTGTCAATTCCCAATCACGAAGATTGAGCACATGTGGCTTGGTGCTCAGTTTCAGAGACTCAGACATGCAAAATAACATAATATAAATGGAAACAGATTTTGAAGGTACAAACTGAAATGAGCTCCATCAAACCGATCAAGCTAAAGGTTCAACCAACTGTAGGCCTGCTTCTATCAACAACCCTACCAGACATGTCAGATGAGTCTTGTTGTATCTTTTAAATAGGGGGGCATTTTAAACACTTATTCAAGAGTAGGAAGAAAAAAAATGGCTGTACCATTTCAGATACCAGTGCCGATACTTGGCATTTTCACGTGCACTACCAGGATTGCAGCTGTGACTGGGCCCTGGCGCTCCACCACTGTCCTGCAATCATTATTCTGCATTGTTTAAGAAGAACTGTCACATGACAACAAAGGTATCAGTAATTGGTATCTGTGAGGACAAGTATTGGTACATTAAAACAGGGATGCACAAATCCCAGGAGCACCATAGCCAATGCTCCTTTAAAATCACAGCTTGGAGCTGGAAAAGTATCTGTATTTGTCTCAAGTACAGTACTTGGGATCTCTGCATCCCTATTAAATACAATTGTAAGCATACAGATACAGAGGTCATATCTGGAACTCTTTTGTGGTTTAAGTGTACAGAGAAAAAAGTATGTTATTATAATAAATAAAATAAGATCACAATACTGTATTTTTATATACTTCCATATTGTCAGCTGAACCTTTTTATTACTTCTGTCATACTGCTAGATGGGTTTTTTTTTTGTGCATCAAAAAGATATATATATATATATGTACACAAAGTAAGTAGTAAACCCTTTAAACAGGTCCTGGCATGCTGAATACAGAATTTCACTAGTTATATTATCTTACAATGAATGTCAGTATAAATAGGATTTGGAGAGAATGCAAGAGCTGCAAAAATAAATGTAATATTTGTTTTCCTCCTACTACCTTTTCTACCCAAATATAGCTACTTAAAAGAGGAAAACCAGATAAATCTCTTGTGTGCATTTTATTTCAAGATCTGTTCACGCTATTGGCTGGTTCCTGTACGACTCCTCCCCTGTCCACAAACTGCAGCTTCAGTCTGTAACTTACCCCTTCTCTCTCCTCTGATTGATACTGTTTTTTTGCCAGCAACAAAGTTGGCAGATCAGCGTTTTGATTGGCAGGTATGGAAAGCAATGTAAACAGTGGACAATTATTTACAAAGAGGGCTGTAGGCACGCAAAGTTTGGCATCCTTAGGCCTCGTTCACATAGGCATAAAGAACAGCCATTTGCACTAACCAAACACTTTGAAAAGCCTGTTTGATAACATAAAAGTGAGCAGCCAAATTCAGATATTTGCTTTGATCCTTTTTTACCTTGAAAAATTACTAAATGTAAGTCAACATTGTGCACTAAAAAACGCCTTGGCCACTCGCGTTAAACTTTTGCTTTTCATTAATGTCCTTTAAAAAGAAGTTTAACGAGGGGTTCTAAAGCTAGCATTATTTAGTCGTACTTAACTGGTCTTCTGTTCTGTAATGTTGAAGATGGCTCTTAGCTTATACAAGCCCCTGCTAAAATTCTAGTGCATGACAGGAAGATACCCCAGCATTTATGTCCAATCAGGTAGTGCAGATACCTTAATCCAAGGTTGATTGTTCAAGAACAGGATGGGAGGCCTGAAAGGTATTGAACTACCCTGTTCTTGTCATATAATGCTATCCTTGGTGTCAGGAAGTCTGTAGAGGCGTAAAGCTTTTGATTTACTTAACTAAAGGTATGCATTGTCGAAATGCCGGGGCAGCGATATTAAAATGGCATTACTTGTGGGAGACAGATAGTACTTGCTGGAAAATAGACTGTCCAGTCTAGCCTACATGGTTACCCAGACATAGCCCTGATTGTCTTGTAAGTAATACATTCTAATATATATATGCTGTAAAGTGTAAGAAAAACAAACAATGGATTATACATGAAATATTCGAAAGCTACACATGTCATTTTCCTGACACTCATCAGAACTTAAGCAGAGGCTTGGATAAGCTACATAACGCCTTTAATATTACAGAGCAATTCTAGTGGTATGCGACTAACTACTAGTAGCTACACCATGACCTGAACAAATGAGAACATTCACAGACATAGGGTGTTCTGAAAGTTTCAGACAAAGCTTTAACAAATGCATCCTAAAGCACAAGCAAAACTAGCCAAAAGCATGCACTAATGCTATATGCGCTTCACAAGCATTTAGAAAAACACAAAAACGTTTTCTTTCAATATCCACGTGAACTTTCCATTTGCACAGACCATTTCTTTAGTTGGCACTGACCAGGCTTAGTTTATGGTGATAATGTATAAATAGCTAGCTAATAACTATACAGGGACAAGCCACCTCTGTATCTGCTGCCTCTGTATGCAAATATATCGCACTACTGTGCTCACTTCAGCTGCCCCTGTTAAACATTAAGAAGAGCCTTAGCAAACATTGACGGTTTTCACGTTATTAAATAGTGGATGGGTACTATTTCCATATTCATTCCCTGTTTTTTAAGCACCGTGACAACATTTTGGTGCCAGGATGCCAGCAATGCTCTGACCATTTGCTAAGCACTTACCAAAATACATGACGGCAAAGTTTTGCAAAATGAACCGTCAAGGATCATCTAGCATAAGGCCCATGTCACACCAACTTTGTAGTAGAGATCTGTAGCAGCTACAAATCTCTCTAGTTATTTTCTCTGGCGATTTGTAGGTGGCACCAAGTTTCTGATGTAGTGGACGTCAAGGCTTAATAAGGGAGCTACAAAGCACTTGTGTGCCTAGGTGCACCTTTATTGGATAACATAAGTTGTACTGAATCACTCAAGACTAAGTTACAAATTAATTTGTAATTTTTGCAGCACAGACCTATAGTTAGATGTAATGAATATTTTTTTCCTAGCAGTAGAAACACCCGCTACAAAATGATGCAACAATGTGACGTGGGCCTTAGAATGTTTTGTTGTCATTTTATTTTTTTTACATTTTTACCACCTTTGTTATCTAACTCTAATCCATCTTAAAATCCTTCCTTGCACAGCAAGACAGAAGTGTCGCAAAAGGCTTCCTGCTGTTAGCACATCAGACAACTGGTCTGCTGAGGCGGTTTCATTAGTCCCAAGGTAATAAAGGCTTCATATCTAAAGTTCAAACTGATCCCTCTGCTACCACAAAAAAAACCCCACTATATAATTTGCATAGTGAAAGCTGGCCTTTGATTTAGCAATTTGGAAAAAAAAAGGAGGTACATTTTTCTTATCTGGTCAGAAGAACTAATTTCAGAGCAGCGTTAGTCAAAAATTAAGGTCAGAATGCAGTGTAATAAGCAGCGGCTTGTGACAAGAGGTGACGCATAATGAGGCAAATGACAGACGGCAGTGCGGTAAAAACAGATTTTTTTTTTTTCAACTACAAATAAAATTGCTAATCATAGCGTATTAGTGGGAGTGATAGAGTGAGACGGTGGGGAGGTTTGCACATATTACGGAACGATGAGTGTCCTTCTTGCAGACGTCCTGTGATCTCATTACCAAATGGTTCCTCGCAATGATTCTTAACATGCACACGGACTGCGGTCAGCCGCCTGATAGCGGGAATTTGGCTAGTAAGGCATTTGATTACGATTAAAGGGGGATTCCAGCTTGTGCCAAGTATATCAAGCAAGAACTGAAAAAATTACCATTATGTAATATATGTGCTGTAAAGAGAAAGGAGGGCTAACCATGAATTATACATGAAATCTTTGATAGGTCAGCAATCTTGATTTATTGCTGGTGGGTAAGAACAGATTGAAGGTATATCTGTAAATAAACAGCCCACTAGCATATAAGGACATATATACATGCTAAGAGGCAGAGAGTTCAGTAAGTGACAAAACAAAGACCTTTATCCCTCAGGATATGTTGCCTCTTATCTTTGCATTATGGAGATTTGAGTAATTTTACAGGCAAAGTAGCAACCCCCTTTAATGAGGACCAATTCATCCACCAGTGTACAGCCATACTCTGGCCCGATTCCCGGCATCAAAGACGGATAGACGCACAGTGTGACACGGAGGAGGAAGGGAACCACAAGACGTAAGGAGGTAATAGGAAATAATACCTTTAAGTAAGCTCTGCAAGTCTTCTCTCGTTTTTGGAGCTTTGTAGAAAGAAAACCAGATTATTACATTAAGGGAGATTTTTCAGCAAAAAGGAAATCAGATTTCGATGTATGCAATAACTAAATGAGGGAAAGATTTCAAAGTACCCTTCATACTTTGGAGACCTTAATTGGGTATGAGTGTAAATAAGCAAGTATAAAAGTAGAAGAATCAGTAAGGGTGACCATTGATGGGAAGACCTCAACACCGTGATTTTCACAAGTGCCAACCTTTGGAAGAGCATATGTATGGTGTACATGGCCTGATCCTGGCTAGTACCAGCACAATCTTATTATGTGCCTTTATTGCACTATACATGGCCAAAAAGAGCCAGCTACCTAAAACAGAGACTTAAAAATACTGGGTCTGGAACAAAAATGGCTACTGGATTTATTTTCACAGCCCTTCAGTCAGAATTTCCACAGGCATTTTGTTTGGTGATGACCTTCAAATTTTTTAGGGCCAAAACAATGGACAGGGCAGGGTCCAAGAAAATGTCACATTTACAATTTGCACCCTTGTCTGAAAAGGAATTGGCAACCTATTTGAAGCTTAAATAATGGCAGACATTGAATAACCCAACTCATTTTACTGAAAGCAGACCAGCAAAAGATGGATTATAACCAGTTGCTATTGGCATTGCACTTTTCTCCTTGTACTCTTTTGCTGAATAAGCCTGCACGTGTCAATATAGTGCTTGGAGTGAACAGAAGAAGTATTATACAGGAGTTCTGGCAAATGCAAAACAATTTTATTTTTGTTTCTTTGGCTGGCTTTTCCAGCTTATCTATACTGGAAAATAATGCATAGTTCTGATTAAGATGTACATTCAAAATGAACAGGCTGCATAATCTGATAACACAGCACCTGACTTCTGCCCTCTGTGTGACTCATTTCCCTACATGGACTGCAATGCTTCACTGTGTCCCAGTGCTCCTCTCCCTGTGACGGTGTATCCTAGACTGCAGCAAGGCTCAGAGGAAGTGAACCATTGATTGACAGGTGAAGAAAACCGTGTGTAAACTCTAAACAATCCTCCCAGAGCGATATTGAGTTTTGCTTACACAACCTCTTTAAAGTACGCTGGTAGCTCTCATTGTGATTTTCCTAAGTGATAACTAGGACAGCACCTTTGGCATTAGAACTTCTCAATTGCCACATAATAGAAAGTAAAACACAGTGGCAGCTTTCAGATCTTGCCAGCAAGTTATATTAATTTAAAAGCAGAAATAAAGTCAGATTGAAATATTACCTTGTTATAACTGCGGCCAACAGAGTCCTTTTCACTGGGCTTCAGCTCTTGTAACTGAGCATCCAGAATGTCTACCAGCTGCTCCATAAGTCTTACCGAGGAGCTGACATCTCCGGCAAATATGGGACCTTTGGTATGTTTTGCCAGCTCATTGGCGAGGCTAGCGGCGTTCTCTCCACTTCTAATCTGTAATGCGAATCAGTCAGGCTTGTCAATACACGGTACATGAGTAATGGCTTATAAAAAGCTAACAGCGGAGTCAGCTGAAGTAAACAATGACAAACCTTTTGGGCCAGTTGGTTGACCCAGTGTGAGGTACAGTTGCTGAGATCTGGGCCCCTGATGTTCCAGGTGCCGGTGGCGATCTGACAGAGGTATGAAGACGTTCCTGGCAAACAACGTACACAGAAATATGTAATTTACCGCTTACAAAAACACACATATGTTTATGAGATCTAATGGGAATGCATACTCTTAAATGATTCCATATACATGTACAGTGTTAACTTAGGAAAGTGAGTGCTCACTGAGCTTTGTAAACGAGGTAAAGCTGTTATCGCTTTAATTACCTAATAAGCAAGGGAAATTAAAACAAAAAAAAACAAAAAAAAAACAAAAAACAAAAACTTGGATAATTCAAGTGAACCCAGTTTTACTGTATTTAGTAAGTCCAGGGATCAGTCACTCTCCTTGTTTAGTAAGTCAACTCCACTTTCACTACTCCCATCTCACAGCAAAACCAAAGTTGTCAAAAAACCCCTTCCTTCCCAGAGGCGGCTCTCAGAGTGTTTAGGAGTACACCTCAGAGAAGACTGAGAACTTTTTGAAAACTCTCCCAACAACTAGCTAAATCTGTCACTAAGTCACACTAGCAATTCATTTGCTGACAATGTTCCCTTGATACCTGAATGAGCAAGATGCCACTTCATTGCTGTTCCCCTTGCCAGCAATCAAGAATCTGCAGCTTTTCGGCTAGGGAAGGAGTGAATTTAAGACAGTAGAGTAGAACTTAGAAAAGGCAGATTTGGGCAGATGTTTCCACACACTTGTCTGAGATCCAACCATCAAAGGCCAAGTAGGGGGAATACTCACAGCAGTCATACAGAGAAGGTTCTAAATTTGCTGCATGACACATACGTGATAACTAAAGGGAGTAAAACCAAGTTAACACCTGAAACATATTCCTGGGAACAAAGCATGTAAACATATAAAAGGTCACATATGCAACATTATATGAGTTGAGGCGCACATCTTAGTCAACCGTGATTGTGCAAAAGTCAAGCAGACAGCCTACCTCGAGTTCCTTTGGGGCATGGACGTTCCACGACAACCCCCCTCTGTGTCTGTGGCCAGCTGATCCCCCTGGCGTCTCGTGCTTCACAGAATTTCTCCGGCAAAGGCGTGGTACTGGTGAGTGGTGGATTCCGAGTAGTGGACATTACAGGAGGTGGTTTTGGCCCTCGGCTCCCCTCCTTCATACCTCCTGCGGACGTTGTGCTAACGAGGCCTTTCTGTGAGGTGGTGGTAGTTGTCGTAGATATGGTGGTCTGGACCACTTCTGCCGGCAGCGTTTCTGCCACTATAGTTGTAGGCACTGATGAGAAAAAAAATTGTAGAATTACAATTAAATAAGGCAGGTAACACACACACACAACTATTTCTACATAGCCTATAAGGGCTTCTTCAGTCATTGGCTTACATTTCTTATAGATGGTGGTTCACAGAGCTGTGCACTAGATTTAGTGACCTCCACCACCTGCTCGCACGCTTTTCATTTATTATACATTATGGCAAATGCAGTTAATAGTTAGATTGCAAAGGAGAGTTTTACAGCTGCATTAATTTTGTCCAAGACAAGCTCTGATAAAACACAGTTGGTGGCTTCACCTACACACATCCATGTATATGGATGATATACTATATACTGTTATGATCGTTTGCTGAACTGACATTTTAATACATAGTGTTACAAAATCAAGTGGTGTAATGTTTAAGCTTAAGATGAATTAGATAACTGGTATTTAGAAATCAACTAACCAACAGACTTTTTTAATGCTAATGCAAACGTAAGCTTTACAAGTGTGTAAATGTGAAAAGGCTGCACAATCTTCTCTTGCAGAAGAAAACTTTACAGACACATATTTAAGATGTTGTGGCCCTATAAGATACAAAGAAGCCAAATGACTGGTGAAAACTGTGGTTATTGCCCCTTCTAGTGATACAATACCTGAGCTCTTCACAGCCACCTGCTGATAAGTTAGTGAAGTGCAGCAGTGACACAAGGTAGTAAAAGTTACCAATGAGCTTTTTAAAAAGAAATATAGCTGGACACACAAACCCCCCTCCAAAATAAAAGTAAATAAATGCATCAAGTGAAACTATATAGGCTTAAAGTGTATATCTAGCAAAAACCTTTTGTATAAACATATATATTGTATATAGTCAGGGAAGGATTAGAATCCCTATCAGGTTTCTACTGCTATCCATGGCTGTATTGGAACTCCCGTCACACAATACAAACTGACTGAATAATTGCCTTTAGATCTACCGAGAAATACATTTAGCCTACCTGATTGGATATTAATTGATTGGAAAGTAAAAGGTAGAGCCTCATAATAGATAGTTTTGGTAAATAAAAAGGAGATTGTAGATTGTAAGCCCTCACGGGAAGGGTCCTCCTTACCATTCTGTCTTGAATTGTATTATGATTGTAATGTCTTCCTTATATTGTAAAGCACTGCGCAAACTGTAGGCACTATAAAAATCCTGCATAATAATAATTGTACAAATTATGTACAGTCAGGTGTTGCGTGAACTTCAGAGAGATTTCCCCTCAATAATTTATGGTGGTAACAGCACACTCAGACAGGAAGTAGGGGGAAAAAAAACCTTCAACATGGGGGGTGGTTTCATGCTTTCCTCTATTCCTATCCTAGAGAAAAAATGCCAAATGTTTTGATTTAAGTCACAGGTCATTACAGAAAAGCTGCATATTAATCTTATACACATGGATTAAGTTAAGCAAAATGCCTCCAGCCTAGCCTTATACAGGATATAATGCAATATTCACAGAATTGACAATGTGTATTTTAATATACACTTTGCATGATACACACACGCGTTTTTCGATATTGAGTACCGATATTTTTTTTTCTGTACTCGCCAATACCAGCGCCCCGATTATCAGGAAGTTCTAAAAGAACACCGTCTTTCACTTGCCTAGGCTGCTGACCAATCAGGAAGCAGGGCAGGCCATAATACACTGCCCGGCTTCCTGTTTGGAAAGGAAGCCAGCTCCATGCTCCCTCAGGAAATGCGGGCAGAAGGAGATCTCCCACTGACTGGATATTTCGGTATCGCAGGCAAGTATTGGAGCATTTGGGCGAGAATTTGCACAAATACTCTCCCCCCCATCCTCATCTCTCAGCCACTGTTTCTAATTTGAGTTTATTTGTTGCACTGTTTGAAGGGACTGTGCAGTGGATTATCTTTATTTATTAAGGTCAGAATTAAAAAAAGCAAAAAAACACAATTTTTTTACAGATATATATTTTTGTCTGATTTTTAGGAAAAATTGCATTGCAAATATTTTGTATTTTACTGTTGATCTAGAGGGAGTAGTTCTCGTCTCCTTTATGGTTTACCACAGTCTCATCCTCCTCTGAATATGTACGTTCAAGTTCATCGATGAGACAGCATTGCCTGAAAGGAAATAACTACTGCCCTGCTGTCTTTTTTGGAAGCCCATAGTGCCCTGGGGATCCACTATCATATATTAAATGAATACTTGCTAAACACAGATGTTGAGGAAGGAGAATACCAATAAACTTGTGGTGCCTCCTATAAAGCAAACTTTGCCTAGTCTTCACAAATTACGGGGTCAGTCTCACTGTATGCTCAAACTTGCAGAGGGCTGTATTTTCAGGTTCCTTGCAGCTTGCTGCGCAAGAAAAGCACAGGATCACTTAGATGCCAGAAAGAGGCCAGCAGAGCTCACATGATTCTATTGTGACAGGGGTACTTAAGAAATGCTTTAGGTGTACTATGTTTTTGGTAATATCTGTATTTATGGTGACTCTTGCAGATGTCTGTAAATGTATGAAAACAAGACATTAATCCACAAGGTACTGTTGGTCTGCATAGAATCAGGACTGGAAAGGAGGGGGGTAGTCAATGGCGTTAGGGGGAGCTCTCACCTCAGACAGTTGGGGGGACCACAAGCACAGGCTTTCCCCAAAATGCCAAAAAGCTGTGTTTTGCATGCACGTGTCGCCATCTCTATATGTAAAAGAAGAAGAGCAGGTGGTGCCTGTGCAATTGGTTTAGCCCGACATTGGCCATTTGAGACCGGTACACAGAGAGCATGGCGGGACCACCAAGAACAGGGAAGAAACCAATACTATGGGGGCAAAGCTCTGTTCATCTCCAGGTTCATACCAGTCACTATTTAGCTGTATACAACCCTGGCAGAATCTGTATGAAAGAGTTCTATGAAAGAAAGATTGTCACATCTCGGGTATTTGCCATTATCTGAATATTCACTATTATGCAGAAACGGACCTCAGAGTCCTTGGAACAAGCACAATACAAACACTTTCCGCTGGGCGCAATGAATACATCAGAAGCCTGCTAGCATAAAGGCACAAGACAGGTTATGAATACTATTTATAAAGCCGATTCCATCTCTATTAGTTGTCAAGCAGCCTCCTTAGCCGGCTTTGTATCAACCAAGCTGCTACGATACGACTTCCTGCACTGTACGCCACATATCAGTTTACAAAATCACGCTACCAAGCAGATTTCAGGCTAAGGATCGGATCAAGCCTAAAAGGCCGACGTTTAGATACCCGTGAACGATAAAATTCCCTCCTTATTTATCTTCCATTAACACCTCAGCGAATACATCTCTTTATATTCTGTTATAAATTTGACTGACAGGAAAAACTGCTTCACATCCGCATGGCGTGGACACAAAAGCCTGAACACTGAAACGAGATTAAAAAAAATGAAATGTTTCTAGACAATACCGTGCATGGAAAATAATTCCTGGGCCATCTTCCTACCCAGGACTGATTTTTGCTTGAAAGATTTCACCATGCCTGATTAGCTCTGAACAGAGACGAGAGTTGCATGCATGTCTTCTTTAGAGATGGAAGATTTTTATGAACTGACATGGCTTCTTTAGATAAAAACCCCTTAGAAAAGAGAGCGAGTCACTCAATCAAGGGACGGAACGCGCCGCTGAATGAGAAGTGACAAAACTGGAGGAAGAGTGTTTTAGGAGGTCGCGCTTGCAAGTTTCTAGGACCTCTCTGCCACGGTAAAGTTTGGACGCAGAAAGCAAATTAATTGATAGGTCTTTCTCCTTGATTTAGCCTGTGGAATTTAAAAGCCAGGCTTCTACCATTCCCAGTGATTTCTTTGCGGGGGATGAGGCCTAGTTCACACGGGAGACACGTCTGTATGACAGCAGAAAATGAGGGGCGAATGTTCACCGCTCCATTCGGGCCTGATGGAAGCTTGCAGCCTGGGTGAAATGTAGGAAAATAAATAAGAACTGCAGCAAGATGGAAGGCACTGATTCTTCTCTGATTTGCAACATAACAGCTCTTTTCCATTTCAGCCCACATCAAATAGCATATTGATCAACTAAACTGGCCATGAAATTTCATTAAAATCATATATAGGTTTAAATCAATTTTGACATCAGTGCTGTGATTTGCTTGGCAGCAAATTGCTCCTATTATCTGACAACAAAGCAACATCTATTAAATATTTAAAAAATAAATAAAACAGGGAGGAATTATAACTATAAGAGTTCATTAACACAGATGGGAAAGCATGTCTTTAAAGTTTCAGGCCTCCCCCAAGAATTGTTTCGGTTGGTTGCAGATGCTGGATAGTTAAAGCCCAACTCTACGCTGGTTGTGGCCACACCCGCTGAATGCTCTGCACATACTATCCCCTGACGTTGAGTGACCTTTCAACCCAGCAGACTGAGGACATCTTGTGGTAAAATAGAAGTACTGCATTGGGTAGCTCTGCAGGTAAGGTGAGTATTGCACCCCTGAGCTGCTTTTTTATTTTCAAAACCCCCAGGGATCTATTTTTAAAATGCTCAAAGACGGGCTTCCAGAATTTTTGGTTCTCATGGCTGTACCCACCCTTAAAGAAAATCATCTGGAACCATGCTACACCTAACTTACAGCTATTGCAATACTCAGATCTTAAATGACACTCAAGCTCAGGAGTTAAATCTTAAAATTGCATTCATGCATCTCAACCATTAACAAACATGTATCTTATTTGTGTATCACTCGGCTGTAGATCCTCAAATCATCTCTGAATTGGTGCTGACATTGTCCTTCCTTCTGGAGGCTGGCTACATTTGTTTCCCATAGTCCCTGTGTGTGTGTTGCACAATAATTTTTTTCTTGGGTTTAGTTATCCTTTAAGCAAGGGGAAGACTAATTTTGGCTGCCCGGCTGTGGTGAAATTACAAATCCCATTAGGCACTGCAAGACTCTGGCAACCACAGGCATCCGAGAGGCAGATGCATGATGCAATTTGTAGCTTCACCACAGCTGGAAGGAA